AAAACTGCTGACAAAAGTATTCTACCTCACATGAAGGTGACTTTAGTTTCTTAAATATTTCCTTTTATTTTTCTGGTTCTTCTTGTGTATATACAACTTTTACACATTTTATATGAATCATATGCCACTAGTATGAAAGACATCAAATTATTTTACGACATTTTGTGTAATTGGTTAGAAATTACATCAGTAGAATCTGTCAAATGATCGTATCCATCCTTTGCATGTAAGTTTGCTTCCTAGCTATTGTGTAATTATTAATTGGGGTTTGATGAATTACTGATATCCGAGAAATGATACTTTTGAATGCCTACCGTATTAAGGGTGTAAATAGTCCAAGGTTCCCTAGGAAAACAAAAAATTTAGTCTATATCCCCACTGAAGCAAACCCACGAACTTAGTTCTTGGAAATATCATTTTGTTTATTCACCTTCTCATGCGGTATTTTATGTAGGGTATAGCTGACACCATGGCGTATATGCAAAGAGAAGGTTGTTTGCTTCGTGGTGAACATAATCTTCTAGGTGAAGCGTTTCTTGTCATGGCTTCTGCTGCTGGGTAATGATTCTCTGGCGTGGATAGATATATTTTTGTTGTCAAATGATTCTATTATTGAAAATTTTGAAAATGTGTGCAGAATTCAGCAGCAGCAAGAAGTTTTGGCCTGGTTGCTAGAACCCTTGAGCCAGCAATGGACGCAGCTTGAGTGGCAAAATAATTATCTATCTGAACCACTAGGTCTTGTTCGCTTGTGCTCTGAGACCCCAGTTATGTGGTCAGTTTTCCACACTATCACATTCTTTGAGAAGGCACTTAAGAGAAGTGGAACCAGAAAAGCGCATTTGAATTTGCAAAACAACTCAACAGAAACTGCTACTCCCTTGCACCCTATGGCTTCTCATCTCTCATGGATGCTGCCACCTCTTCCAAAAGTACGCATGTTGCTCCTGAAAATTAGTTGTGTTAAAATTCCTCATTCACGTTTCTTCTAAATGTGGTACATTTTTGGCCATTTGTTTATGCAAATATGTTCACTGTGACTACAACATGGTAATAGTTGGTGCATGTTGATTTGCAGCTGCTTCGCTCCATTCATTCCCTTTGGTCTCCATCTGTATCCCAAACACTTCCTGGAGAGATTAAAGCTGCAATGACCATGAGTGATGTTGAGCAATTCAGTCTTCTTGGTGAAGGAAACCCTAAATTTTCAAAGGGTGCAGTAACCTTTTCCAGTGGATCTCTTATCAGTGCAAGTAAGGAAGGATACACAGAGCCAAATGAATCAGACATACGAAATTGGTTGAAAGGTATCAGAGACAGTGGGTATGTATTCCTGCATCTACTAACTTATTAATCCTTTAAGCCAATTTCTTTATTGGTTCATCATCCATGTAGGTTTTCTTCATTTAGTGTCGAGGCATTGTTTATAAATGCAGGTACAATGTATTGGGCTTGGCAACCACTGTTGGGGACTCATTTTACAAATGTTTGGATAGTCAATCTGTTGCTCTAGCTCTAGTGGAGAATATACATTCAATGGAATTCAGACATATCAGACTGCTTGTTCATTCAGTTTTAATTCCCTTGGTTAAATTTTGCCCTGTGGATTTGTGGGAGACATGGTTAGAGAAGCTCTTGCACCCATTATTTCAACACTCCCAGCAGGCTCTTAGTTGCTCCTGGTCCAGTCTTCTACATGAAGGGAGAGCCAAGGTCCCAGATGCCCATGCCATACTCGCTGGGTCAGACTTAAAAGTGGAAGTAATGGAAGAAAAGCTACTTAGGGATTTAACTCGGGAGATTTGTTCACTCCTCTCTGTTATAGCTTCACCACAGCTAAATACCGGGCTTCCTTCCTTGGAGCACTCTGGGCATGTTAGTCGTGTTGACATTTCTTCACTCAAAGATTTGGATGCATTCACTTCTAGCTCTATGGTTGGGTATGTTTGATTGACATTGTTTCCTATCTAAGTAGCTTTTTCTGTTGGTCTGTACTGTTGTACTTTTACAGCCTTGTGAATTTATTTTTCCCCACAAGTTCTCCGGTCTCAAAGTGCACTCCATTTACAGTTTCCTTTTGAAGCACAAAGGTCTTGCCCTTCCAGCGCTGCAGATATGTTTAGAAGCTTTTACATGGACAGATGGTGAATCCATGACAAAAGTTTCTTCCTTTTGTGCTGCTTTGGTTGCTCTAACGATATCAACAAATAGTATGGAACTCCAACAATTTGTGTCTAAGGATCTCTTTTCTGCAATCATCCAAGGTTTAGCCCTTGAATCAAATGCTTTCATCAGTGCTGATTTGATTAGCCTCTGTCGTGATATATACATATATCTTTGTGATAGAGATCCAACTCCTAGGCAGGTTAGTTACGGAACCTTCTGCTTACCAATATTTTGGGATGGTAGTAATTATACTCTAGTTATAATTCATTTAACAAACTTAATGGACGTGCTTCTTGGGTTTCTCAGGTTCTGCTCTCACTCCCTTGTATCAAACAGCACGATTTGCTTGCTTTTGAAGAAGCTTTGACGAAGACATATAGTCCCAAAGAACAAAAGCAACATATGAAAAGCTTGCTATTACTAGCTACTGGAAACAAGTTGAAAGCCCTTGTTGCTCAGAAAAGCGTAAATGTAATAACAAATGTATCAAGTAAGTCCAATTACTGACTTCACAATCTTTTTCAAGCTTTTAAAAGAGCATGCTTTCCAAATGTTGCTATAGTTAGTCTTAAGTTGTGTAATGCTGCATCTAGTGGCTTCTTAATCTTAAGCTTCTTCCAAATATCTTCATTTTATATGAGGCATTTCCCCCCTGTTTCTTTCAGTACTTGGTCTCTCCCAACATTAAAACATTCCGCAGACCAGGTTTCTTGTTAACTTTCGCTCTTTAAATGGCTAAAATCTTGCTGCATCTAATTTTATAAGGTTTATGAAGGTGGTAGGATACCTTAGACTCTGAAGAGCTTTCCTCTGTCTCCCTTAGTCAAAAAAAGTGGATACAGTACATAAAAAATATAAACATAACTGGCTCTGTTTGTCTTTCCCTCTTATGAAGGTCTGATAGATTTAGTGTTGATTTCTTGTCTCTCTCCATAAAATAGATTTAGGTTCAGGTTCGGCTTTATCTTTTCTTTTCCTTTTTGAAGATTTTTTACATTTTGTTCAAAAGTTGTGTAATTATGTGATAGCTAGTCAACTGGGTGTATGTATTAACTAGCATGCTGCTGCAATCATAATTTCAGCAAGGCCTCGCAACACCGTCAACGTTGCAGAAACCAGAGTGGATGAGGGAGAGAGTGTTGGACTGGCAGCCATATTGTGATGTATGTGTGATCTCTTGTACAGAAATGAATTCAAGTGGAAGACGGAAAATCCTGTTTGAGGAATATGATGAGGTAAATGACCTTTGTTTTTTTCCGCCAGAGGTCTACACAACTTTTCTAATGGGTTCACCTCAAATAGAAGATACATGACACCATGTTGTACTGTACTGCCATGGAAATTAGGTTTTCAGACATACATTTCTTTGTACAGCAGCACTAGTCAGAGAAAAGAAGAAGAAATCTTTGTTTTTGCTGTTTCTTTTTTTATTAAATCTTTGGCAGATTAATACCACACTTGGCAGTTTTCATTTCACTTAACCAGTCTGGACCTCTCAAACCAAACTTTCATGAATCATGTGCATGTCATAAATGCCGTTTGCTACCTCTCCTTTTCGAACCATGATTGCTTATAGAGCATGCGTGCCCCATTTGAATTAGGAAACGTGATGCAGATTGTCCAGTTAGCTCAGCCATTGATAAGCCTGGAACCCACACTGTCTATAGGGCTCACAATGCATGAATAATGGCTCTCCTATGCTAGTAAAATGAAATCCTTCGTCAGTGATTAAAAACGGTTTATAATCACAAATCCTAACGGTCAACTTTTTCATTGTTGTTTCGTTTGGACAGATCGTGACACGTGGATATAGTCCAACATGAGAAGAAGTTTCATGTTTATTATTTTAAACGGTTAAAATTGCTTCGTCCCAAAAAAATAAAAAATAAAAAATGTTAAAATTGCAATATGTCGGTGAAATCTGACACAGAAATCTACATCTCTTGGGATTTTTGTTTTATTTATTTTCTTCTTCTTTGTGAGCCTTTTGGTACCGACATCTGTTGTGTTGTGTCCTTCCAACTACTCTTATGCCAAATGCCACGCGTTGATTAGTTTGGGGACCGTATGTTCGTGTCAATAAAAAATTAGGGACATTTTGGAAAAAGCAAAAAAGGAGAAAAAAATTTTAAAAGAAGCAAAAATGGACAAAAATGCCCTTATTTATTTTTAGATTTCCTAAGGAATCCAATACATTTGCATGTCTTTGATTTGAAAGTTGAGCGGTTTTTTTGTCTCTTTTGAAAAAGCTTTGGCTTTTTCCAAAAGTGAAATTTTTTTTGTCTAAAACCTAAAAAACCTAAAAAATTATTGTACGACATTGGTACAGAAATACTGTTGCGCTTTATATGAACACATCGTTTATTTATATTATAATATGTAAATATGTAATTATACATTTTTATTATTGTACAAAAACTTTTCATCACCACCTCCTCGATCATGTTACACGCTTTCTAAGCAGAGTGGACTATAGGGTATGTAATTGAATGGGAGGCATGCTTCATTTTTTAATGGTAGCTGGAAGGAATGGTAGGTGAAATGTGTTAGATGAAAAGGGAAAAAGAAAAAAGGTTAGAACTGGAGTGATATGGCCCAGTCAATGTGAATAATATTACACACACACACACACACATATATATATATATAGTTAAGCAATGCGAATATACGCTGTTGTTTTTAATCTAAACCAACCCCAATCAACCTTCTAAAAACTTGCACAAGTTTCCAGAGCATACAGCACAGTTGCCGCACCTGCACTGGCACAAATCTTATTATAAGATACTGTTTGGTGTGGTGGAGAAGGTAATCGTAGAGGCCTATAGCAGCTACCAATGAGACCCGGAGGACCACCAGGAGGACCACCCGGACCGCCTGGTCCGCCAGGACCTGGACTGCCTCCTCTCTTCGGTGGCTTTTGTGATTTCATAGGTTCATGGTATGTCAACTTGCAACTTTGTCTGATGTTTTGAACTTAATCACTTCTCTCTCCTCTAGTTAATACAATCACTGCATACATTTTGGAAAATGATGAGAAACGTTTATAATTGATTTCAATAAATAAAAATGTTGTAAAACAATATATAATTAATGTGGCGTAATTTGAGAAACAGACAAGAAATATCAAACCCTGGTGTGAGCTAGTGCTTTTGTTTTCTTGGTCCACAGATATATGCTGTGTATTATACTTGAAACATTTCCCTGTATCCAAACCAATTTCTTCGTATGATTCATTGTCTTCTCTATTTTCCTTACTTTTATCTTATCCATTTAAAATAAAAAATCATAAGAATCATTCATCCCCTGTTGCTAGCTGATGCCTTCCTCTTTTTTTTAACTTATATTTGTTTTGTTTTTATGGGAGTTCGTCGTTTTGGTTGGTTGCAGTTTGAGTTTTCTGTGCTGCTGCTGGCTGTTACAAGACTGCTTTGGTGGTGGGCCACCACCAGGGCCTGGACCTCCTGGCCCACCAGGGCCTCTGGGACCCCCTGGCCCACCAGGGCCTTTGGCACCTCCTGGCCCACCAGGACCCCCCGGCCCACCAGGACCCCCTGGCCCACCATTTCTTCAGGGACCCCCTGGTCCACCAGGGCCTCCTGGAGCACCACCACCCCCGCCATGAATAATGAAATGAATGATGCATGGATAATGGATTCATGGAATGGCAAGGCAGCTGCTTGCTTAGCCGTATATATATATATATATATATATATATATATATATAGCGTTGTAATGTAATCAATCTCTGAGAGTCATGGTCATGGCTGAGTTTTATTAGTCACTGTGTCTGTCTGTCTGTCCGTCATTTGAGTTTGCCAGAGGCTTTTTAATCAGCCTCTCTCTCTCTACCATTCGGAATAAAATAAAATATATTTATTTAGCTCATCATCGATTTGCAACAATTTTCTGTTTTGTTTAGATTAAATGTTGAAATCAATCCCAACAAACAAATTTAACATTCATGATGTTGACCGCAGAAAGGTACATAATTCAATCCTCCTACCCTCTCAAAATTCAAAACACGTTGTCAGTCGGTCATCTGATTCAAACAGATAATAGTAGCAGTGTGTGTGCCAAAACGAGTGGTTCGGATAATTTGAAACAAATGCAGTTTTGAATACTGAGAAAAAAAGGGCATATAAACATTTTTTTTGCGTTTGCTTGCAAGCTGCATGCATGTGTGAAAAAGGGGAGGTTTGATTGTTAGGTTTATGTCTCAACAGTTGGTTATATATAAGAGAAGTAGATGACACACTGCCTGTGAGTTTCGGGTGGCCAACGACTTCTGCTAGCCTTAATCAATCCCGGAGTTTTCACTGTAATGCCTTACATACCTTATGAAAAACAGGAAGGAAAAGAAAACTCAGAGCTGCTGTGGTGGACCTGGCTTTTGAATGTGATCTTCTGCATAATGTTGAGTTTCAAGCTCAATATATACGTGATGTAATAACAAGTGAGAGAATGTTGGCGTGTTGCTGCTGTTTTTGCAACTTGCAACTCAATATTCTCCCCACTTAGTCCCAAATTTGTGTTTATTTTGCAATTTCTTTTTCATTCTTTGTTTTATGCGCAGAGTTATTAAATTTAATGATACCATTCCCTAAAAGGACGACGGTGTTATAACTTTTGTTTACAAAATACATAAGTAGTTTGTAACTTTTGTAACTTTTGTTGGAGATTGAAGAAAGAAGAGTGCTTGGCTGTTACAAGACTGCTTTGGAATGATGCATGGATGATGGATTCATGGCATCAATGTTGAAATCAAAACGATAAACCTTAATTAACGAGTGTATTCTGTTGACATTGAAAACGTTCTTGACTTCTTATCCAACAACCATATATTTCAACAACAACGACAACAACCAAAAAAAGCCTTCGTTTATAAATTATATCCAATCCAATCCAACCAATATTTGAAAATCATCTCTTACATATATACATTGTAGTATATACTGATATTTGAAAATCATCTCCTAACAAACGCCATTATAAACTTTTTGTTTCGTAATTTTAAGCCGAAGGAATTTTTTTCACTTTCGCATAATTTATACATAATAATTATAATACATTAATTAACAAGTAATGTGTATATTAATGTGAATGAAAATTTAAAAAAAAAAAAAAAAAAAAAAAAAAAAAAAAAAACAAAAAAAAAAAAAAAAAAAAAAAAAACCACACAACATTAAGATTATTTATGACAAAACAGCTTGTCAAAAGTCAGAACACGTAGGTTTGTCAGTCGGTCATCTGATCCAAACAGATTATATGTATGCATGCGTCGACCAAACAAACGAAAAAAGGGTCGGTCCATCGAAGTCTTTGAATTAGGGCCTAAGAAAAGAAATGATGAGGTGTGTTTCGATGATGAAATCACATAATGTACTGTGTATGTCTGAACTGCGCTTATAAACATTAATTTTTTCGTGTGTATGCTGAAAAGGGGAGGTTTGAATGTTAGGTTTATGTCTGAACAGTTTGGTAATAGAAATATCAAGAATCAATTCTCTCTCTCTCTCTCTCTCTCTCTCTCTCTCTCTCTCTTGTTGAAAGTATGAACCTATAAATAAACAAGAGCTACATCAATCTCATTAGATACTACCAAGCTACATTGCATTTTCAGCGAGAGAAAAGGGAAGCGATATCACCAGAGTGCTTTGCTTGATTAAGAGACAAAGAGAAGAGAAGAGAAAGCGATGCCGCCACCTGGACCGGGAGGCCCACCGGGCTTTGGTTGCTTAGGCGCCCTCTGTAGCGGTATATGCGGCCTTATATCATCTTGGTGAGTTCATCACTTTGGCTTTTTATAATATTTTATTCATGTAATTGCCCTCCCAAATTATAAGTTAATACAAAATGTAGCTGCATCTGCTCTGCTGCATGCTTGTTTCAATTTTCTTTTTTTTTCTTATTTATGAAGGCAATTTCCTAATTATTATTATTATTCTAACTTTATTGTATATATATATATATGGTGTGCACTGTGCAGTGCTTATGTTCTGTGTTGCTGCTGCCTGTTTGAGAGCTGCTGTGGACCCATGTTTGGTGGGGGATTTGGCGGTCCTGGTGGGCCCGGTGGTGGTCCTGGTGGACCCGGTGGTGGACCTGGCGGGCCCCCTCGCTTTTGAATATGAGCTGGCTGCTGCTGCTGCCTGTGATCTTCTGCATAATGTTGAGTTTCAAGTTCAGTATATATATATATATACATGATGTAATAACAAGTGAGAATGTTGGCATGTTGCTGCTGTTTTGGCAACTTGCAGCTCAATATTCTCCCTATTTTAGTCCATGTTTGTGTTTATTTTTCATTTGTTTTTTGTTTTTTTGAGCAGAATTAATTAGTATTAATATTATGTATTTTGTAACCTTTGTTTACCAGATGATCCACCACCACCATCCATGACAATGAAATAAAATCTCTTCCTTTTTTTCCCCATTACTTATATATATATCTTCCTAACCTAAAGCTAAATAATCATTTAAAACTTACTTATTTTAATAAGAAAGTTAAAGGTTACATATTCATTTTGGTGGGTTCTTTACTTACCTTTCCTTACCTACCAGTCACTCCAATATAAGTAAATAAAGGCCTAACTAGAAACTTCTAATACATTCCATTAATTCCAAACCCTCTTCCCTTCCCTGCAGTGCAACTCTATAAAAATATGCACTTCTAGTGAATTAGAGAGAGAGAGAGAGAGAGAGAGAGAGAGAGAGAGAGAGAGAGATGCCGGGTTGGGGACCGCCGCCGGGAGGACCTCCAGGGCCGGGAGGGCCATGTGGCTGCTGTGCTTTCTGTTGTGATGGAATTTTCAGGCTTTTTTCTTCATGGTGAGTTGAGTACTAGTACTGTAAATCTTAGTTCCCACTCTTGCTAAAATGCTCACTTATCTTTTTATATATGCTTCATATTCATAATACTACTAGCTCTTTTAACTCACGTCCAAGTACTTTTGTTAAATAAAAAGAACCCAAATAAACAAATTATAAATAAATAATAAGTAAAAGAAATGATGGGGAGATGTTCTCTGTATGAGTAAGTGTGTTTTTCTGTTTTAAATTTTCGTGAATGGATTAGGTTTTTTATTATTATTTATCGGTTTTTGAAAATTCTCTAAACTCCCCTTCTTCATTTATAGAGTTATTATAGACATTAGATCAGTAATTATATTCAAAATTAATTGTAATTTTAAATCTCAAGGTGGTGGTTGTTGTAACTCAGTAACTCAGTAACTCGGGCAGTGGCACCAATGCCAATGATGATGCGATTGAAAAACTTGAGCTGTCATTATTTTGTAAGATAATATAATATAATTCACCATTTGATCCTTCCCAACACGATCACAATTCTTTTTGTTTATGTTGGCAGTTTCTATCTCTTGTGCTGCTGTTGCATCCTAGAGAACTGCTGTGGACCTATGTTTGGTGGGCCACCTGGACCCCCTGGCCCACCTGGCGGGCCCCCTGGACCTCCCCCGCCATGGTAGATAGATCACGAGTACATTTTATGTATATGTATGCAATGCAACTCCATATATCAACCTAGCTAGTAGCTACCTACTTCAAATTTGACAAGATGTTGTATTCAAATCGTTTCCTTGATATTTCACTGTTTGCCCTATTCTGCGTGTAATCAAGTCGTTGCTTTCTTTATGCCATTGTTTTTTTATTTATTTATGGTATTTATGACTTGGGTTGTATTAAAGAGCCTCGCCTAATCCCTGATGACTTAGCCCGGTTTTTGTACTTGTTACGTTCCATTATCAATAAATACTACCGCCTTTAATAAAAAAACACTATGAATGAATAATCATATAACATTTCTCTCTCTCTTTTCTTTTTTTAATCAGATATAACATTTCTCATTGTTAGCATAACAGTATCAGACCCTTCAAAAATATCCTAGGACAAAAAGAAAAAAAGCACAAAATTGTTATTATTGATTTCTGTCAAAAATTACACACATGCAAGTACATGAAAATTTGTAAAAAGCTTTTTTGGAGCCTATGGACAAAGCCTTTCCCGTTCTACCATACAACATCATCAGAGAACACACTTCTTCGCCGTTGGGTCCCGCTTTGTTAAAAGCATCCGCTGCCAAACCAGACTTACGAAGAATCAACTGCTTCCTATTCTTCATCTTCTTCTTCTTCTTCTTCTTCTTCTTCTTCGGATGCCTCTCTCAACCACTGTGACATAAGACATACAAGATGCAACTGTTGTGAAACAAGGCTAACATCATACGAAATTTAACTGGAGAAAACCGCTATCGGTACATGTCATCAATTTTGGTTGCCAGAAATATCAGCCTGACTTCTTTTTTTTCTTGTTTTTCCAGTATTTAAGTTAACCCAAATTGCAAACTATTCTTATATTGCATGAATGGACAACACTGGAGTTAGCGGCCATGCTAATTGTTCTGACAATACAACCGTAAAGAATTGAAAAACTGATGAGTCGCACGCAATACATACTTATATGTTGAACTCATAACTTCTGCTAACAAATACAGGCATCCACTGATACATTAAAATACGAAGTACTTCCCTTAAAAGCTCAGCCAGTAGCATGCAATTGCAAATGGGGAAAAAAAAGTTATTCCAATCGTGCAATGGCAGTGTGTATATATGTTATAATGAACATTTAACGATCAGATAAGGTAACAAACATACTATTGAAAAAAGAAGTTAAATAACGCCCCCTCTCCCTATCGAATGACCCAAAAAAACCAAAAGTTAAATCATAGCACTTACTTGAATAAACTTTTCCGCCTGCTTAACAAAAAATTTATCTGATTCATCAGCATCTTTCTTCTCATCATCCCACCTTAGAATAGCTTCTTCTTGTATAACTTCAAGGTCATACAGTTGATACAGTATCTGTAAAAGAAAACTGCTACGGTCAGAAGAAAAATCAAACTCGTCAACTTTACAACTTGCTTAAGAAAGAAAGGCTGGCAAAGCACTCAGCAGAAAAATACACACTATTTATCAAAGGAACAGAAGAATTACAGAATTTGAAACAACTGCATTTCTCTGATCTTTAACATCCTAAATATGAGCATAGAATTGTAGTATCAAGTTCTACAAATGATTATAAACTATGTAGGTAGACATACCTTATCAAACACGGGGGCAAATTCCTTAGTGGACTCGCAAATTTCTTCAAGTTTAAGTATTACCTCAATCTGAAAGTACAGAACAAGTAATTCAATACAAGACATAAGCATTCACAATTTTACATAGGAAAAATTGGAATCGATTAGCAGTCATAAAAAATAAGGGATCTTAGTGTCCAGCATTATGTCAACTCTAGAACAGCAAACATAATATCTACAAGTATTAATGAAAAGGATTCAAATACAAACCTCCTCATCTATTTCTGCTAGGTAATACTTCAGCAGTTTTTTCCATTTTGCAAGTACATTAGTAATAGCTTGAACCAATTCACCTAAGAATTGAACCAGCATCATTTTGTTAAAACCATATGTCAAGAAGAAAGACATACAACTTTAGTAATATGAAAATAACATCTACACTGCAGCTTGACAAAGATTACAGTGTAATTGTACAATTAAGACAGGGATGCTGTAAAATAGACTTATGAAACCTTGCCCACTTCGTGAATGCATGCATGAATTGCCCTAATGTGATCTTAACCTATGAAATTGCGAAAACCATCCCAAATTTGTGTTTACAACTCTTTCAGTATTGCTTTTTATTTTTGAGGACAATACCAATTGTTAAACATGAAATATAAGCATATTCCACAAAGTTTATTATTAACACAGTTTTCCAATCACCAAAAAAAAAAAGTTCTTTAAATGAAAACAGAATATACACATTGGGAAGAGAACAGCTAGCTCAGGAAGATTTACTTGCTGAATCATGTGGGGTTTCTAATGCCAATTTCATCAGTGAATAAAATAAACCTCCAGCACAGTCTGCAGCTACCTTGTTGTATGACAACCTTCAATGGACAAAAAAATGACAAGCATCAATCACCAAAATAATACACACTAAAGCATCATCTTAACAGAAATATCAAAAACATTTTATATGGTTGGCAGATATATCTTCAAAGGACTGTTGATGAAGATCAAAATACACAGACAAATGGGCATGTAAGCATTGAAGGCATTCAATAAAAGCAAGTAATCATGCATGGTTTAACTACAAGATTCAAATATAAGTTAACTCCGCTGCATGAGATGCATGTCTGCACCTACAACTTGAACATCAACAGAAATTGACCATTTTGAAAAACCTTGAGAAAAACAAAAATAAGAGGTGCGATACACACGAAGTAATTCATAGATCCCTAAAAGAAAACCAAAAGAGTACCTCAGTGAATTCACTTCTAAGATGACATGGTCTACTGTTATATTTTCATGCACAGCTCTTAGAAAGGTTGCTTCGACCTGCAGATGACAATAAAATTGTCGAGGTTCAGTTTTGATTTTGTACCATATTGTATTTTACTATCAACATTCCAGATGACGTTGTTCACCTCTTTCTCAAAGTAGATAGAATCATCTCTAGACTCTCCATCATCATCGTATTCAGAATCATTAGAATCAGGTTTTAACTCTCCTGAAGGTGGGAGGGATCTGCCATCTTGAGTAAGCTCCAAATCATCATCTGCAGCATGTATTGCTTCAGAAAGTTTGTCAGCAGGAATGGGAGCAACTGAATGCCTCCACTCCTCATCATGGCCTCCTTCACAAATTGACCAAACATAACCAGCCCCACCAGTACCAAGCTGATCAACAATAGAAACTGGTATCAGAGAATGTCAAGATTGAAGCAGCAGTACACTCAATAAATATCAGATTATTGCTTGTGAGGCTCAGTCTTGTCATTACTTACAAGAGGAAAATATAGAACTTAAACAATGTTGTAGCTCATCATCGCATGAGCATGATTACTATAAAGAGAACTTTATAAGTTTATGTAGCAACAAAAAAAAAAAGAAAAAGGAATGGGTACTGCACATGGTGAATGCAAACAGTATTCATTGATTTCTTTCAAATGCTTGTTCAAGTCAATGATCATTGTTTCTTCCCCCAACCTTTTCCCTTCTCTTCATTTCAGTTCCAGCCGTACTAACATATGCTGAAGCCCAAATCATGCCAATATTGTTAATTTGCATCACCCTAGTGGTCCAAGATACAGCATAGAAAAATAAGTAAAGAGAAGGCTTGTTCTCAGACAGCACCCCTGATTTTAAAGTTAAATTCCAATTTGACACCTTCTTCCCTTTCTAGCACCATAACAAGCCTCCACACCATTATCATAACCTTTCCCCTAACCTGAAAAATACCCATAGTAATGGGCAATGCATCTGGGGCAGTTTTTTCTTTTAATTGCTAGTCTTAAAGGAATTTGAGATTCTGACCCAACGAGCTTAGCTGTATGCACATATTCTACAAATTATGCATTTGCAGTTAATGAATACAAGACAAATCAAGATTGTCTGACATGTGGGAAATAAATTTATAAAATATGTGATTAAAAAGAAATACTTCAAATTTTATTTGACGAACGAAGGACAGCAGAGAACCAAACTTGATAGGTATGAGCTAACCTCAGATGTAGGCCAACATTGTGTCTCAAATGGTTGGTTTGTTATTTCCCCATTTAGTTTATCCACTGTATGTGTGAGAGCTGCATCGAACAACTCATAATAAGGGCAAATATCACTGGGAAAGAAATTTCATCTCTTACATCGATAATTTGTATAAACAAAAGGAATTAAATAAGCTTAAAAATACTTAACAGCTGTCCCTAACAAAGTATGAATGCAAGATACACTAGCTATGTCTAGACAAACAGAAGTTGAAAAACAATACAAACTTCATCAGAACAATAGTCAAATGGACAATAAAAATTGATTATTTGTGGAGCAATTTTCCCAACAAAGACTAAAGCCCCATGTCTCCCTCAAGATCCTTAATTTGAAATACTATTTCCATAAAGCAAACAGCAATTCATTTACACGTCTGCATTTTGGCTGACATGTCCCAGAAACCTATTGGCAAGCATGGTAGCTTTCCCGCTATGAGACATTTCTTGAAAAGTTATTAAAATCAATAATCACAGTCAGCCATATAAAATAATAAGTAATCTAGTCATATCATCCTGTTACAATTTCTTTTTCATTCAATTGCTTGATGTGACAATAATTTCCATGTTCACCTCAAAGAAACTATCCTATTCCAAAAAGTTTACAGCCTATTTACCTACAGTACCTAAAGACCAGCAATAGGATAAATAAAACAGAGATTCACTAAAGATATCACACAGGCTAGGTCCATGCTTTTGCACATAGCAGAACTCAACAAGACGAAACATGAAGCTTAGGGACAAAATGTGAAAGAGTTACATGAAATTTCTGCAATCCCAATGCTATTGTCAGCATACTCCAGCTCTTCGTCACTGTCTTGCTTAGTTGGCTGCTGAAGTAGAGATACCTTTGAGTATGGAGGGACAATAAACTGTCGCCCTACAACAACCTGGAGGGTAAACAATGTCAAAAGCACATTAAAATCTAACAGACATCAGAAAACCACAAGCGAAATGTATCTGGCTCTTACAAACTCAGACAAAAAGCAAAGATCAATGTACAAGGACAAACATATACGAGACTCAATTTGAGCATGCCAAGATTCATATTTCCCAATCTGTTTGTAAGACTAATTTTGGATGACATCATAAATACCAGTGCACATACAAGGCTGAACCTAGGCAAGAAAAGCATGTATGTCCAAAAGGATTGTTTTCTAGAGGTCTGCCTAAAGTGTATAGGGTGCCTCCTCTTTGAAGTCTTTAAGCATAAAGCCCTCTAATGGGCATGTAACATATGAAAGGTGCAATTTCATAACAGTAAAATGAGTAATATAGGTATTCACGGGGAGCAATGCATACTGCACACCAAAAAAGAGATTTAACATAGTATTTAAAAAATATGATAGGGGCACAATATTAACATCAAGGATGTATATGTTATCAATCTTTCGATTTCCAAACTTCAAAATCAATATACTTCTGAACATCTTATCAGTACTACTACTTTACACCTTAAAATTAATATATAACATTGTAAAAAAAGATTCAGATTCCAAATATCTTTGGGCCAGTAAACTGCTTGGTGTTTTTTTTTCAGTTATGGTTTGGAGCATTATAATTGATAAGACAGAAGAACTAACATCTGGCAGTTCCAAATAGTGCTATAACAGGATTTACTGGCACGTACCTTGAAGGACAAAACAACACCAGGTTCCAAGACTGCTCCGGACTTTACTATCACTCCATCACATACTATAGCATGCCTTAGCTTGCAGCCATCTTCAATGGTGACATTATCCCATATATAGGAACCTTCTATGGAAACATTTGATCCAATAGAGCACCCTTCCCCAATAACAGAATTTGAAATTTTAGTGGTGTTCCCAATCTTTGTGCCACTCCCAATGACTGTAAAAGGACCAATCTGTGCAGAGCGTGATTGCCCTATTTCTGAAGAGTAGCTAGTTTATCAAATCACACATAATGAGATAGAAAAAAGAAAACCGGTAAATTTTCCAACTAGCAGACAATGGGTAAGTCCATCTCTGTCATGGATCAAGATAACAAAATTACCCGATGCTCGATACATCCCCTGTCTTTCCAGTTTTATTGAAGAGTTCCCAAAAAACTTCACATCTGGCACCAAAGGATAAGTCCATCTCTGAATTATGTCCTTACTAATTGTATCATAGCTTCGGAAGTTGTCAATCCTAGCCGCATAACTCGAGTGAATTTCATGTGTGAATATTTTGTAACCCATAATCTGAACGGATAGATGGTTCCCTTAGAAGAATTGCAAGGTATAGAACAAACACAGAGATAAATGTGCCCAGATTGACAGGAACAAGCATATTTTGTGGGAGAATAAAAAACATATTTAAAAGAGACATACATCGTCAACAAGCAATCCCTTCAGAAAATGACGGCGTAGATGTTGATAATCAAAATTGTCTGTGAAAAGGGCTGAGGACTTCAGAGAGAGCATATGTCAATATAGCAAACAAACAAAAAAAAAAAAAAAAAAAAAAAAAAAAAAAAAAAAGTAAGAAAAATAGACTCACGCAATAATTCAAGTGAATTACACAAAATAAAAATGTAAATAGTAATTGTGCAAGAAAGAGGATTATCTAGAGAGAAGAAGCTGAAGCATCTGGAATCACAAACTTGTCACATATTGATAGAATTCTTTCTTAGGTTTGATGTGACACACCACACCCACACATAGACTATGAACCACCAGAAGCATTGTCAGCCACTTTGCCCCGAGAAAATAAAACAGCCACTTGATTTTATTAGATTGATGGACTAAACCCATTTCTACCCAGAGACTTCTTTTAAAATTAAACAAATAAATAAATCTTTCAGGGATAAGCCCTAAATTACAGGACCGAAATCCTTAACTTCAAGCTACAATTGGTGGTTCAAGAGTAGTGGAAACATATGAACCAAAAACTAGAGTACTGATCACAACAGCTTCCAATTGGAGACATGCTTAATATAATATCCATATATAGGTGAACTGATGAATTAAATAAACCTACTGGGGTGCTTCATTTTTCAATTCTGTTAATTGCAGAAGCAATCAGGGTCCATTCATACCCGTTCTTATAGAGGTTAAATGTATGAGATTTAGTTCAGATGTCATTAGAACAATTAAGACTTGTTGAGGATCAGAACAAAAAGAACAAGCCGACTTTTCTATAAAGATTAATTAACAATCAAAACTAGTCTGGGGTTTAAAGGGAAGGCCTTGAGATGTTACCTGCTTGTCATTATGTAGAGTAATTGAAGGGTTATCAGCGAGCAACAACTTATCCAGATATATATATCCTTTTGCATGGTCTGCCTTGTCCTCGTAATATAAAAGCTGCTTTGTATTAGGATCTATTGCCATAAACAGCTCATCAGTGCCAAGTCGAGATTGGTGAGTGATCTGAGAAGGCTTTGACCGTTTTATAACTACTGTCATCACAGCATTACTATCTTTTTTTCTTCTCTCTTTATGTTCTTGAAGCACCTGAGTAAGCGACATGTTGCTCACCGTATCCCCGCTAATTAGGACAAAATCTCCATTTATCTTCAGAGGAAAGAGAAAAACGATGAAAAAGTTACTGAATGGAATATGTTTAAAATAATCCGATGAAGATACAATTATAAGATCAACTGCAAAAAGAGTGGATGCTAAAACCCTTAAAAACCTTACATTCTACTGCATAATCGGAAAATTTGAGAGAGAGCTGATTAACTCAAGTTCCATATTGAGAATCAGTGACCTAATCTGGTAATGTCTTTTTAAATGCATAGAAAGGGGGAAATTTTATTTGAGAAGAAATAAACTGTCCCAAGCATAACAATTTTCAAAGTTAAAAACATCATGTGTATATTGATCTTCTCTCAAAATGAGGAATATGGGCCTAATTCTAAGCATATTTCCAAATAATCATACAAAGAATATTGTGAGATATGAGCATACCACGTTGCGCTCATAAATCAAGCGAAGAGCATCTCCAGCGCTAACAGAGTTATGTGACTCAATCGTTGTGACTGTGAAGTTTGGTTGAGAAAACCACTCGGAACTCTCCAAATAATCAATCACTTGTATAGAATGAGCACAGCAAAAAACAAAAACCTCCTCAACGCCAGCAGACTCGAGCCACGCTAAGGTGTAATTGATCATCGGGACATTAACCAATGGCAACAGCACCTTCATCAGCAAAGACAAACAATAAACATGACAATTCGCATAGACTAAATAAATTCATAGGTTTGTGTCATTACCAATTTGACTACGTAAAAGTTCATAATTAAACAAAAATTCCAAAGAAAAATCCATTCATAATGCCTTTCTTCGTTTTCCGAGCTTGACAATTATCAATTTTATGGTTTTGAACTAACAAAAACAAAAACTTCCATTTATACTACCCCAATAGCCAGATAAACATATGTTTAGTTGAGAATTTCCAAAATTATCACAGAAAACAAAACAAAAAAAAATTGGGCGCAAATTTTCCGAAAGCCCATGTATCCATTACAACAAAACAGCATTATATACATATACATATGCACATTCATGAACACGCATAAACAAACACACACAGACATAGACATCACATATATGTATATACATGCATACATAAATTTATATATATATATATATATATATTGAGAGATAGAGAGAGAGATACTTTGGGGCGCTCGAGGGTGATGGGTCGGAATTTGGTAGTAAAACTATCAGCTAAGAGGATGGCCTGCAAAGGGACACGTGCCAATTCCACAGGGTCCTCTGAACCCCTAGATGCACCTTTTTTCTGCGTGCCCATTGTCTTCGTCTTCTTCAGATGAATCTCGATAAATTCCACGAAGAACAGAGAATTGAAGCGGTTAATTTAGAAAAACCCTAATCAAAACCCACTGCTGAACACAGAGAGAGAGAGAGCATGTGAAGCATATTCGACTGTAGTATGGGGGTCCGTTTCCTATGCGGTGACGGCGTTCGCCGTGAGATTGTCCAGCCATTAAGGGACAGCCACGTCATCGGCGTTATATTGTAATTTAACGAACTAACAAATTAATTGTCCAAACTTTTTAAAAACTCTGCCTCGGGCTTTAGGCTGAACTGCAGACCAAGATGCAACAAACTTTTGGGCTTAGTTATCCGGTAAAGGATCGGCCCGGATCTGTTCACTAACATATCGAGCCGAACTAAAGCCCAATGAGCCATATCTTATATTTTTCATAATACGCGTCAGCCTCTTTGTACCTGAGTTCGATCTCACTCTCTGTATATTAAATTAATTTAGACTATCACTTGCTCATTAAAATAAGAAGGAAACAATAAACATCTATCATTAGTATTTTAAAAATACTCTGTTTTTCCATATTTTTATACTTTTCCTTTGCTTGAAGTCTTTGGTCTGTGCTAATAAATGGCAATTAATGTTAAATGATGCCCATCGAAATGAAATTGTTAATTAAACTTTGTTTGTTTAGTATATATTTGCTCTATGATTCAAAATTTCTTTGTTTGCATTATGATCGTATGTTGGCAAGATCTTGGAGTCGCCTCAAGCTGCCCGTGAGACTTTTCAGAGACTGTTGGCTGGTTGTTTGTGGCTGGCTAATTAAGATGTGATGCATGATAAAATAATTATTATATAGTTTGACATGTGCAAATTTATACATTTTAAAATTTCACATTATTATACAAAAATATATATTAAATCATATACGTATTTCATATAGTATCTTCCCTCGTCTTGTGTGACATATGTTAAAATTTGATATTTTTTCGTTTCAAGATCCGTCGAGGAAAGTTGGATATAATTTGACGTGCTTTTTGCTGAGAGTTTATAGAAATTTCTAGAGACATTTTCTTTAACGTTTATATACACAATTCTTGAGAAATTCATGCCCCGAAAAAGGAAATCATTGTTTATGATATTTTAGATGCATTTTCACGTGATCCCCGGTCCACAACACAAACACAATGATTTCCTGATGCATTATTCAAAAATTGGCCTACTTCTTTTATTATATATCTGAAAGTTGGCCAACCTGCCCACATTTTATACCCAATAACACGTGGAAGGACAAGCCTCTCAACCTCTAACATCTTTTTTTTATTTTTTTCTTTTTGGGGGGGCGCCTGAATTTATTCACGTCATTAGCGAGACGAAAGACAGCGCCAAACAGAAGCACAGTATATTTTTGTCCCAAGTTCCCGACACAAGCAGTAGCAGAGTGGATACAATATTCAATAAGTTGGGGCAGATATGTAATTTTATAAAGTAAGAACAAAAGGCCAAAATGAAGACAACTTTTTATTATAAAAAGAGTTTAGTTCCGTGATTATTTGCATTAAGAGTCAAAGCCGTCAGCGTCAATTAAGTTAGATATGTCATGGACAGAGGCCAGGTGTGGTCCTGTGAGTGAAAAGCTGTCTGCCCCACGCCGAATGGTAACTAATTACCAATCCACTGGCAACACGTGCATGCATGCACCATAAAGCAATTGTGTGGTATCTTTTTCTTGCAATAATTTCCCAATATTATTAATTCAAAAAATTAAACATTTTGTTAATGTTAATATCTTCCCTTTTATCAATTTGTTTTGCGATATATATGAACCTACATAATACATAAGTTTTTGGATGAATCTACATTAGTACATTTTTCAATTAAACTTAAATGTGAAAAACAAAAAATAAAATGGTTGCGGTTTGAAATCACCTATCATTTATAGATTTTGAAAAATAATAACATAATAACATGAACTATAATCGCCTTGTCGGGACTTGTAATCGAGCTCAATCAAAAGTGATTGTTTAACCATTCAAGCTTAACTTGTGTTAGTTGGATTTTAGTTCACCAAAGGGTGTAACCAAGTTTCGACTTTGGAAAAATGAGAACTTGGTGTTGATTTTTAGAAAATTGGCCCCGCTTGGTGAAAATTAGCCTTTTAATTTTGGCTTTAGTTGATTTGAATTGGGACCTCTTTCAATATTAAAAATGGAGTACTATTAAACTAACAACTAATATGTTTAAAATTCCCGTTATATGAAAATATGATAATGATTCCAAAAACCTAAAACATTGGTTTTTTTTGTTGTTTTTTGCCAAAACTAAAACATAGTTAATTGGTGTTACATAAGCAAATTATAAAATTACGAAATTACCCTCTAAAAAGGAGAAGATGCTTTCATAACTTGACAAGTAATTTATGACTTTTTATAGATATTACTCATTCCTTACGCCTTGGTTTCATGCTATGATCATGTGATCAATCATCAAATGATCGGTGCATGTGGACCTAAGTGAAATTGGGTTATTAAAACTAAATTACTTTTCTATTTTAAGTCCATTGTAATGCCATTTTTATGAGTGCTACTATTTATCTATCAACTTTATCTTCATACTCACCATATAAATTTGAATAAATACAAACCTATCTTTTCACTCACTATTATTCCTAAAATACCCTTTAATTGTATTTCCATATTTGCTATTACAATTAATATATATATATATAAAACAACAATATTTTTATTCAATTAGCCTATCCCCACCCCAATCGCCCTTTCCCTCCCCATCCTCCTCCTCTGGTGAAAACCCTACAGTCAATACCATAACCTTATTCAACCAAAGAAAAACTCTCCTTCTACTCCCAACAAAAAAAACACTCCCCTTCCTATCACCCACAAAAAAACCTCACATTGATTGCTCTCTCTGTTCTAGAAAATGAATACACATTTGCTTTATTTTATTTTTAATTTTGGAGACTGCAAAAGATGTGTTATTTGAGTTTGAAATTAAAAGGAAAGAAAGAGACAAAGGAAGAAAATGAAATGGTCATGAGTTTCTGTCAGTTTTAGAGTACAAGGAGAAATGGTCATTGGACTACTTGAGCTTTAGAGTTAGAGAAGAAAGAAAAACGATGGGATTATGTGTGGCTGAAAATAAAATTGGGGTTATGAGTTTGTAAGTATAGGTTTTCTTCTAGTCCTAATTTATGTAAGACACGGAGAGAGAAAGATGTTGACTTCGTTTTGTTTGGTGTAAATAACAGCACTTATTTTTATTTATCTTCCTTATTCTTTTCTTTAATTTTTGGCAAAGGCTTCAAAAAGGATTTTTTTAATATTTTTTTTCTAAAAAAAAACACTTTTTATACTGTCATTTCCCGCAAGGCAAACAACGACGGGAGTGGCTGAGTTTCAGTGTCTTTGCGTTTCCTCAACGGTCATTAATCAGTTAATACCACACAACCCCAAACCCTATAGCAAGAATTTCCCGCCACCCGATGAGAACACAATCATTTTAATCACCAGAAACCAACGGTCGAGATCTACACCAACTTGCCACATTCCGCTACACCCGGCCGTGTCAAATCCGACATCAACCCCCTGCGTGTTTCGTTTTGGGTCCTCCTCTGTTTTCCCTTAAAGCTAAAATCACACGCTTCTCTCTCTCTCTCTCCAAACTTTTTCTTCCATTTTCTCTACAAATTTTATTTCGTATTCTCGCGGTTTCCAGAGGCTTCCAATCTGAAAATATTTGTTTAGAATATATTCTTCCCTGATTTTCTTGAACTCAAATTTTGTTTCGTTTGTTGGAAGCAAAAGCAATTTTCTTTTTCTCGTTGAGCTCGGAAATTCTCCCATTTGCAGTCAGCAATACGGAGCGTTTTCATTTCCAGAGAATTTGACGCAGAAATTGAGTTCCACCTTCCTCTGTTGGAACTCTCTCTGTGTGAATTTGACATTCGATCCAAATCACAAGGTTGAATTTGGCATTTCATCCAAAGCACGAGGCTCAATTTGATATTCAGCTCGGTCGTTTTTGAAGTAACAAGGATTACGAGCTTCGTGAGTGCTTCATTTTGTGCTGCTATGCATGTTGTTCGAACCTCCTTGGTAAGCATTTTTTTTATGAATTGTTGGAAAATGAGATTCTTTATTTATTTAATTTTGTATTTTTCGTTTGGTTGCCGAGAAAACTGAGAAGAATGAAGGAAAGTCAGCTGTTTGTCGTTTGAATTCTAAAACATTCAAAAAGTGGTTATTTCCCTACATTTTCTCAATTCTCAGCAACCTAACATTGCTTTTTTAACGTTTAGCATTTTGTATGTGTAGATGCATGTAACATATTCTTCAAAGCTTCTCTTTTCGTTTTCGCATTTTGTCTTCCAAATTTTGCTTTTGAAAACTCAAAATATGTTTTCAGAAGCGCTTCCCAGCTGGGCTGATAGAAGATGCGTGCTTTTTCGTTTTAATGCAGAGTTCATAAGGTTCATGATAATCAAAGATTGTTGAGATGGACAGTTCGGAGACATAGATTCCGCCAATACAAAGTTTGAAAAAGAATCTCAATCTGTTTTCTCTGGAAAGATAATCAAATTAGCTTATTGCATATTGGTTGGTCGCTTAATCTCTTAACAGAGGCGGATACAATGGCTGCTCATTTGAGCTATTTGATGTCAAAGTTACAAACTCTATCCACTTCAGATCACTCCTCTGTGGTTTCTATGAACCTATTTGTGGCGCTCCTTTTAGCTTGTATTGTGATCGGACATCTTCTCGAGGAGAATCGATGGGTGAATGAGTCAATCACTGCCCTTTTGATTGTGAGTAGTTGCTTCAGTTACTGATAAAAATAAAACAGAACATAATAAAAGTCTGAATTATGTATCATACGTGTGTTATGGCAAATTCTGATTGATTTTATGTGGTTCTCGTGCAGGGAGTTTGTACTGGGATTGTTATTCTTCTGATCAGTAGAGGAAAAAGCTCGCATCTTTTGGTTTTCAGTGAAGATCTTTTCTTTATATACCTTCTGCCACCTATTATTTTTAATGCTGGGTGAGTGTTCTGTTCCGTTTATATATTTTTCTAACAAGTCCATGCGATAATGTGATGGTTAGTTAGTCCCTGATATATAGTTGATGATTGTTTTGCTTTTACTACATCTGTGCAATCCTCAGCACAAGTGTTTCTGTATAGTATGTGTTGTATATTACTATGCCATTTTTTTTTGTTTACAGCTTCAAAAGCATTAAGTTCCTAGGATCTTAGTTTTATATAAAGCAAAAAACGGATTAGTAGTAGCTTACAGTACTAGTAGTAAAAGAAACTATTCTGGTTTATGAAAGTCTCAAGATCCAATTATTTTTTAAAAATTAATTCAGTTGTTTATAATTAATCATAGAAAGAAAAAGCATCAGCATACACTCTGTATACATTTACAAGTGTTACTATATGGATGTCTCAAGGACTCAAGATTGTTTTAGGCTTACAAATTAAACCGTACTTGTGTTGTGCATCCAGTGTCAGGCCTGGATCAGCATACTGTCCAATGGATTTCAGCCCCAACATATCCATAATCAAGGAATATTAATAACTTTGTCATTAATTAGTTATTCCATTTAAATAAGCATATAAAATTGATATGTTAGCATGCTGAATTAGGCTATTTGCACATGCTAGGATTTAAGGATATTGCAATGTACACTAATGAACAATCGGAGGCTTGTTTTATTTAGAAATGTGTACTGAGGCTACACAAGATCATTTATTTCCATCCTGCAAGCAGAACTCCTTCTGTTGAAGTTTCCATTTGCCATTGCCTTAGTTACTCTCATATTGGTCACTAATCAATAAGACTTGTCTTCTTCTCTGAGCTTATAATTCATGTTTTGGTCTTTGCTATGTGTATCAGGTTTCAGGTGAAAAAGAAGCAGTTCTTTGTAAACTTCATCACTATTGTAATGTTTGGTGCTATTGGAACATTAATATCCTTCTGCATCATATCATTAGGTATGCTCATAACTCTGCACATGATGTTACCATGATGTGCATAATAGCCGTTTTAATTTATGAGTTATGAGTCCTATGACACGTGCCTTTCTTCCTGGTGGATAAAACAAGTGTGATACAGAAATCTGAACATTTAACTTATTGTGTCTTTGCTTGACTCAGGTGCTACACAAATATTTAAGAAACTGGACATTGGTTCGCTGGAGATAGGGGATTATCTTGGTAATATCATTTTCTTTGTTTTACTTGTTTCTTGAAGTTCTATTTGTGGTCTAACTATTTTAAGCTCCTGTTTGCAGCAATTGGTGCAATATTTGCTGCAACGGATTCTGTATGCACGTTGCAGGTAGGGCACATATCAATGTTGCGTCTGAGTTTATCAAATAAATAAACACCAACTATTCAACACTAAAGTTGTTTACCCAATGGTCCAGGTGCTCAATCAGGATGAGACACCTTTACTCTACAGTCTTGTATTTGGGGAGGGTGTTGTTAATGATGCTACATCTGTGGTGCTTTTCAATGCTATCCAGAGCTTTGATCTCACTCACATTGATTCCAGAATTGCTTTGCATTTTATGGGCAACTTCTTATATTTGTTTTTCACAAGCACCATGCTAGGAGTGTTTGTAAGTACCCGTCTCTATTCCGTGTCCATATATACAAGTGTGCTATATTGTTTTCGTTTTTTGTACCTTGGTATAACTTCTCTCTCTTGTAGGCAGGGCTGCTCAGTGCTTACATTATTAAAAAGCTTTATTTTGGCAGGTATATTGTCATAATTTATATATTCAAGTCATGCCTAGAGCTTTAGGGTCCTGTTTTGTTTAGCGTCTCAAGGTTTTTTTATTTCTATGTTGAAACCACAGCAGTCTTAGAGAAGATTTTTTTTCCTGACACAACTTGGTTTCTGACATAATTCAGGCACTCTACAGATCGCGAGGTTGCTCTTATGATGCTCATGGCATACCTGTCATATATACTGGCTGAAGTAAGCTTCTCCTCTACTCTGGGCATTCTACAGAAGGCTCAAAGCCTTCTTCCCTCCTCCTTCCCAGCTTCAAGTGTTTATTTGGATCTTATTGCTTTAGGCATATAAACAACCATAATAGTGATATACTTGATGTGTGTTGCAGTTATTCTATTTGAGTGGCATTCTCACTGTATTCTTTTGTGGGATTGTGATGTCCCATTACACTTGGCATAACGTGACTGAGAGTTCAAGAGTCACAACCAAGTATGGCTTCCTGAAAATTACCTCCAAGCCATTTGAAAGCAATGGTCCTGTATAGGACACAGGTTAATAGACTGTTTAACTAATTGTTTGAATTTTTCAACAAAATTTTACAGGCATGCGTTTGCAACCTTGTCATTTGTTGCTGAGATTTTTATCTTCCTTTATGTTGGTATGGATGCCCTGGACATTGAAAAGTGGAGATTTGTCAGTGACAGGTATGTCGTTATTTGTTCACACAGAATGGTTTTGAACCTTGTATCTGCTCGTAACATTATCCCATCATATCTTTGACTCAAGTTCTAGAACGTAACTGATTTCTACTAACTCTCTAGTGGGTTTACATGTGGTGCTTGATTTTGCATTCGCAGTCCTGGAACATCAGTGGCAGTGAGTTCAATACTGCTAGGTCTTCTTATGCTCGGAAGAGCAGCTTTTGTTTTCCCCCTATCATTTTTGTCGAACTTAGCTAAGAAAAATCCATATGAGAAAATTAGCCTCCGGCAGCAAGTAAGCACTCTGTTTTTTCAGTGGCACCACCTTTTTTTTCCCCATCTGATATAGTGAACTAGCACATTAAACCAACATTTTTGTTACTGTAGGTGATAATATGGTGGGCTGGTCTCATGAGAGGTGCTGTGTCTATAGCACTTGCTTATAATCAGGCAAGTTATACATTTTTATCTCCCTACTTGTCATAGAGAAATTAAAAAATCGCCTTTCATGAGAATTTTATTAAATTGAGAACGTTTACTATATTGTCAAAAGATATTTGTACTATATCAGGTTTGTGTTTTTAATGGCAGTAGCATCGTCTAGTAATCAGGTAGTTTTTGGACACACACAAAAATCTTGTATAGCGTTAACAATCCTTCAGAAGTAATTAAGCATTATTTGGAGAAAAATATGCTAGGGAAAATTTGTTGGCCTTGTGTGGAATCTACTAGAAACAATTTCAGGATGTAAGCAGAGATTTAAGGAAAGGCAAATGGTCTGATATAATAGAATTTTCCTTTGAATGCAGTTTACAAGGTCAGGCCACACACAATTGCGACCGAATGCAATCTTGATCACTAGCACGATAACTGTTGTTCTTTTCAGCACAGTGGTAAGGCCTCTCCTCTGGATTCTGTGTATAGCAGCATTGTCTTAAACTATACTTGGTTACTTATGGAACTTGCAGTGGTTTGCCATTCTTTTAATTCATTCTGTTTCTGATGGTTTTTGTGTCAACCAGAAGTTTAGATTTGATGGCCACCAATATCCACATTAATTTCATGTTTGCGGAAAATTTGGATTTACTTATGAATTATGATACATGTTCATTTTCTTGGAATCGGGAATAATTATTTTCACTGGATTTTGTGTTCAGGTGTTTGGTTTGATGACAAAGCCTCTCATAAGGTTCTTGGTGCCTCATTCAAAACAAACAACCAGCATGGTGTTGTCAGAGCCAAACACTCCAAAATCAATCATTGTTCCACTTCTTGGGCAGGATTCTGAAGGTGATCTGGGTAGCCAAGAGGTTCGGCGGCCGGCCAGCATACGTGATCTTTTGACAACTCCAACGCACACTGTCCATCGCTATTGGCGTAAGTTTGATAACGCCTTCATGCGTCCAGTGTTTGGCGGCCGGGGTTTTGTTCCCTTTGTTCCCGGCTCACCAACGGAACGGAACAACACTCAGTGGCAATGAGAAGATATATAGTGGAGCAATAAGTGAAATAAATTGTAAGTTGTGTATATCCTGATAAAGGCCAACTGATGCATGACTTCAAATCAGCATGTGATTATTTATTTATTTATTTATTTTTGAGGTTTTAGCTTATGAAAGGTAGTGTACCGTATGTTGTAATTTTTGTATAGATTTTTTTATTTGCTTCAATCATCAGATCGGATGGGGGTTGGTTGCCTCTTGTGTTGAATCTGATAGATCAATGCAATGTTAATGTAATATAATGTTGACGTTAATAAGCGCGCCCACACACACACCCATGATGATGAGCCTAGTGTCAAAATATTACTTTTGTTGAGTTGGTGGGTAATTAGATTGCCGATTGGGTTGGGTAGCCCCTTTTAGAAGGCCACGGCCCACGGGTGTATATGAAGTGTATTAGACAAGTTTCACTGAAGACTTTGAAGTCATCAACTTGAGATATCACTCTTTAACACACGCACGCGGCACGCACAGGTATCAAAACAGAAAAGAGAGATAACTTTTCCTTGCTCTGTTTCTTCACTCTCTGTGTTCTGTTGCTTTGTGCTTGCTAAGATTGGTAAGTTAAGAGTGTATTGAGTAAATAAAAAAGGCAACACTTCATGCATTTCCTAAACACACCAGCAACGCAACGCAACAGCTTATCCCCCTCAAATTCAATACACCTCACCAAATGTAAAGACCTATGAAGTGAATCTATACACTAGACTAGACAAATGAAGTTTTTCAGAAGCGCTTAATTATGGTTTAATTGCGGCTAGGCTAGCCTAAAAGATTACCACCGATGGAAATTGGAATAGTCAAAACGAGCAACTGATGTTAACCAAAACGAGCAACTATGAAAATGAAATGAAACAGAAAACTCGAACTCAAACTCAAAATGAAAAGAGGAGTGAGAAAGAGTCAAGGAAAGACATGTGAAAATGAATCTCTAAATAATGAAATGAAATAATCCATCCAGATCCAAGTTCCAGGTTCCAGGTTCCAGCCACCCAAATTAACTTTTTTTAACATATCCCAGTCAGTCACAGCAAATAATAATAATGCATGAAACCCAACTAACCAAGAACCAACCAATCTAGAACTAGTAGCTAGTCACTCACTATCACTACTAGACTAGACTAGACTAGACTCTAATAAGGTCTAAGCTGGAGGAGTAGACTGTAATTACCCAAAATTTGCAATGGTGAAAATAAATAGTTCAATAATTTCAGTTCAGCAGTAACTTCATCTCATAATTAGAAAATAATATGCCTAAAATGTTTATTTATTTATCTCATATTTTGTAAGTTGGCTATTGCTTTCCTTTGGTAATTGGAGGATACAGTGCCAGTCATATCAAGTCATTGCCACATGGACATGGTTGATACTTGATACTGTCATACTGAATTTCCTCAATGCACCCGCAACAGCTAGCTCATTCTTATCCAGCAGGAGCAGGAGCAGCACCAATGCAACGTGAATATATATACATATATAGAAAGAGATGGTGTTCAGCACAGACATCACCTACGTACCTTCCTTGTTTCGGAGTCCCTAAATTTCATGCAGAATTAAAACGATAAAACAAACAGCTTGCATGTGAAATCCTTCCTTAATTACTAACTCAATAGACTAGGTGATCCCTTTTGCTGTATTCCTTCTATAAATGTATCAGAAAATATATGTGCTATCCTGTGCTGCAGTGAAAATTGTTTTGTGAACGACTAATCCAATAATAATATTATATGAATCCCTGCAGTGAACATTGTATATATAATGAGAAATTGGTAACACTGATCATATCATATCATTCTACTTTTCTCTGTTTGAACAGCATGAACAGCATCCTACTTGTCACCTTGTTGGTGTTCCTCGGAACACAAGGCTATGATCATCAATCTCATGCCTTGACCCTCAAAATCAAACACCATCCCTTCCCCTTCCCCAATATCCTCAACAAAGCTTCTGCTTCTGCGCCAGTGACAAAGGTATTCTCTGGCCTCTTCTATACCCACCTGTATGTCGGAACTCCGCCCGTGAAAGTCAACCTCGCCGTTGACACCGGCAGCAGTCCCACATGGGTCCAGTCTGCCCACTGTACGGAGTGCTTCCAAGTTTCGTTGCCCAATTTCGACCCCAACAGTTCACTCACTTTCCAGCCTATGCCCTCCGACCATCCACTCTGTCACGGTACATGGCTTGCTCCGATGGGAAATTTATGCAAGTACGGGATTGAATACCTCGGAAACCAGGTCACTACAGGTGACTTCGGCCTCGACACCTTCTACTTCACCACAACTCCAAACGACCAAGTTGGGCAGCAGCAGCGGCAAACACAAATCCATAATGTGGCATTTGGCTGCGGTATCATCAACCGCATCCCAGATTTCGCCGGAGATGCCCATCATGCCAATCCAATGTCTGGAATTCTGGGGTTGGGGAGGGATGATCCCTCCAGCTTCCTACTCCAGCTGAGCGATATCACGTTGCTGAAATTCTCCTACTGCCTGCCGAGACGTGTTGGAGACGAGGCGTCTCTGTTTTTCGGCGAAGAGGCAGAGCTCAAAGTTCCTGCGGGTCAAATCCAAACAACGCCAATTGTGGGGCCATCAGATGAGTCCTATTATTTAAACATGACGGGTATAAGCTTGAATTGATCCATTCTTCCAATCGATCCAAAGCTGTTTACATCCGAGGGCGACTATGGAGTTGTTATAGATTCGGGGTCTCAGTACTCTGTGTTCGTGGACGCAGTTTATCAAGTCGTGCGGAAGGCAATGGTCTCGTACTTTATGGATGAGTGGCTGTTGCAGCCCCTGCCTCCCAACAAAACTAGGTCCAAAATAGACCTTTGCTATGACATCACAGACATAGCAGCAGCAGCAGCAGGACGAAGAGGCGGGCTGTTTTCGGTTGCGCCGCCGATGGTGTTTCAGTTTGATGGCGCCAGCCTTGAGCTGAACCACGAGACGACCTTCCAAATTTTTTACGAATTCAATGAATTCTGCCTGATGATAGAATCAGCGAACAAATTTGAATCCACAAACATCTTCGGAGCATTCCAGCAGTTCAACCACAGATTTGTATATGATGTTGGGGCATCCAAGTTGTCATTTTTCCCAGAAAAATGCTGATCAGTTGATGCTAATATTATTACGTCTAAATAAAAAGAAGTCATCAACGATCGATCATGGTGCAGTACAGCAGCACCATGATCGATCGTTGATGACTTCTTTTTATTTAGACGTAATAATATTAGCATCAACTGATCAGCATTTTTCTGGGAAAAATGACAACTTGGATGCCCCAACATCATATACAAATCGGGAGTTTCACTAAAACACCCAAAATGGGGGTTGAAATTATAAAAAAACCCAAGCACTATTTAAACATATAAACACACCCAAAACCCATCATTACACACACTCAAAACCCATTTATAAACACACCCAAAAAGTTGACTTTGGGGTTGATTTTGGGTGTGTTTCTATGTTTAAATAGTGCTTGGGTTTTTTTATAAATACATGTCTAGGATTGGGTTTATTTATAAATTTGTATTTTTCTAATTCTATTTTATCAGTCTAATCTAAGTCTTTTATTGTTGTGCTTAATTAATATGGATGGATGCCTCATGTCATGTCATGAATGAATCAGTTTATGAATGGTTAAATCGTTGTTGTTTTGTTATGTTATCAAGGGCATTGCAATGTGCAGTGCTAACAAGGACACTGAGATGGAGGCATTATTTTTATGGAGATTTTTTTCTTTCTTTTATATGGAAATCAATGATGCATCTCAGATTCAATGCTTTTTGTTGTTTCGTTAGAGGAGAAAACATCAGTGGCAGCAAGCAGGCAGGCCCTTTCTTTTGTGGGTAACATAACAAATTTCTTACTCAGATCAAGTCTAGGTGAAAATATCTTTTGTTTTGGCTAAACAAAACATGAACTATCGTCAATATGAAAATGTAGCAGCTTCTTAAATTCCGACTCTGTATACGTTTACAAGACTCAAAATGGTTGGAGGCTTAGAAATGAGTCATGACTTTTCATGGTAGATTGGGTAAACAAATTATCCAAAATATATCATGACATTTGAGAGCATAATTGGGTGTAAGAAAAATATCATGACAACCTTAGCGAATAAATATAATGTTCCACTGACCTAAAAGTTCTTTACCTTTCAAATGTAGTTTATTAATTTTATATAAATTATAATTTAACTAACACATTAGTTGACCGTGAGTATGAGTTAACCCGTGTCCGGAGAGTGTCTTGACCGTTGGACATGAGTGCCCGAGTGTCCGACACTCCGACACTCCGACACTTGGGCTTAGTGGATGCGATGCCATAATGAAGAAGCTAGGCTATACAAGATCATTTAGTTCCATCCTGCAAGCACATGTACAATTTTCTCTTTTAGTAATGAAATTTCCCATTGCCATTGTCTTAGTTACTCTCATATTGATCAGTAAGAAATCAATAAGATATTTTTCTTCTTCTCTGAGCTTATGATTCATGTTTTGGTCTTTGCTATGTATATCAGGTTTCATGTTTTGGTCTTTATTTGTAAGCGTGATCCCTGTTGTAATATTTGGTGCCGTTGGTACATTAAAATATGCATATGATTAGGTAGGCTCATAGCCTATCCGAGGGGAATTATGCCTATTCTTAATCCTATTTTAGGCTCGTGAGTCGTGTGTTGCAGCATATATACCTATTTCAGATTGTGTATATGACATTAGCTTTGCAGTTTGCACTTTATGGGCAACTTGTTATATTTGTTTTTCACAACTTCACAAGCAAGCACCAATGCACCATGCTAAGGATAGGTAGGAGGAGGAGTAGTGTTTGTTGTACCTTGTACATATCGGCTCTTAACATTATTGCATCATACGGTACCTACTGACTTGTTTCTACTAACTCTCTAAGTCTAGTGGGTGGGTTTATTGCATGTGGATTTGCAAATTTTAAAGGAAATTTCGACCTACGTTGGTTTCATTAGATGAACTGATGAAATGAAACAAACCATTACAAGGCATGAAATGAAACAAACCTTATCATCGCTTCACCTAATGAAACCAACTTCGTCGAAATTTCTTTCAAAAGGAAATATGTTGAGTTGAAGGAAAAGGAATTAGAACTAGCATACTATTTCATCGTTATTATGTCTAAATAAAAGAAGATTTATACTAGTAAATATTATACAAATTTATAAATAAACTCAATCATAGACATGTATTTATAAAAAAATTCAAGCACTATTTAAGCATAGAAACACACCCAAAATCAACAATTGTATAGTTTTTGGGTGTGTTTATAAATGGGTTTTGAGTGTGTGTAATGATGGATTTTGGGTGTGTTTATAAAGTGTTTTAGGTGTTGGGTTTTTTTATAATTTCAGCCTCTATTTTGGGTGTTTTAGTGAAACTCCCTAAATATTAATGGTGCTTTCTAATTAATTTTGTTTTCAATCTCTTCTCTTTTTGTTATGTTAGTATGTACAAGAAACTGCCATATTTCAAACACCAGGACATGAATCAAGATGGCTGAACAAATTAAGGAAAAATATCCAAAATATCAAACAACAAAGTCATGTTATTAATTAGCTATTACATTGGAAATGGGAGAGAGCATAGGAATTTCACACCTGATATATTATATATACGTTATGTTAGATTAGGCAACTTGGACATGTTAGCTAGGAGGAGGACTTATAAAATAATGGGATGGGAGTCATTATTTTCACAGAGGTTTTTAACACACAAATAATTAATGGGAGATAAATTTACTGGTATTACATTATTACATGAGGGTCGTCAATGGGTAGAGCCAGGTTAGCGCGGCCCAAATTTTATGGGCTTGGGTCGGGCTTTAAATAGGAAAGAGAAAATAATGAGCCAAGTTGAACTGGACTTTATCAAAAAATTCAAAGCCCAGGTCCGCCCCATGGGCTAGGCATGAGAAAGCCCAACGGGCCAGGAGGGCTTGGCCTATCGGAACGAGCCAAATGGGTCTACTATGTTTTTATCTTTTGTGTTCATTTTTTTTCTATGTTTCTTTGTTACCTCCCATTTCATATTCTCCATTTTTTTTTCCCATTTTCATAGTTGTCTTTTATTCTATGAATATACTTATGAATCCCCAATATCATGTTGAACAAAAAAAAATTCTCGAATGTCATTTCTCTTTTGTCCTGAATTTGTTCCGGTACCCACCTAAGGTATTTTACCCTTTTGACAAATGAGATGTTCAGTTAGTTTAATAATGGAAGCAATTCCTTGAATGCCAACAGAGGCACACTTGTTTAATGGACTTAATAGACATGGGCACTGGCCACAACCCATACAAACAAACAGAAGGATACAGAAGGGATGGTGTGATATGCACAGATCACATGGTTGAATGACTCTGGAGACAACAAATTAGGACAAGACTAAATAAACGAACAATCTTTCTTCAGTTCCCTTTGTAAAAGGATCTTAATTTCAAGGGTTCAAAAAATTTGGCCCAGACACCAGCATGGTAATTTTCAGGTGAGTTAGGCAATGACTCATTCTTAGCCGCAACGACAAGCCCATAAAAGATGCACGATATATATATATATGGTCTCGCTAGAAACCACCCTTTGAAAAACCAACTTGTTTGTGACATTCTTGTTGTACTCCAAAACAACCCACTTTCCCTTTTCTACCACAACTCGATCTCTAGTGTGTACACGCATCCAGGCACCAGGAACTCGATTTGTTGTGGCACTAGCGGTGGCAAGAAGAATGAGTAGAGTGGTCATCAATATCAGTGTAAGGAAGAAATGAGGATACATTATAATTTTAATTTTAATTTCTGATGTGAATGTGATGAATGAGGAATCAAAAGTTTTTAAGCTTTGATTTGAAGAAAATCTTATTGTTGCAAGGTCTGTATATATACTATAACGATTGGTTGGTTACAATTTACATTACTGTTCGTCAAGTTTTGAAGACTGCGATGCCCCTGGCCGCTAGTAGGTTATACATTGGTAGCTAGCAGTTGCTTGTTGGTGAATGAAGTGAAGCGAGAGAGATCTGGGTCTTGAAGTGGGCAAAAAAGTTGCTCGCTCGTGAAATGCGATAGGCGTGCAACTACTAGTGATACTTTTCTAGTAGAAAGAGGGAGTGAGGTGAAGATTAAGCCTGTTAAAGTATTGCACCCTTGTTTTCTTATCTTCTAATCCATTGCCCTCCAAAGAGGGGAATCTAGCTTTAGATTGGTTATTTTCTATGCCTCAACGAAGAAGACTTCAATATTTCACATATTATGGAATCAAACGCGAGATGAATGATGATTATAAACTGTCATCGGATATAAAGTACAATAACGAGCCTTGCAGGAGAGGTGTCCAATGGATAACATAATACCAGAAGATAATTATATACCTAACAGAGACTTAACAATGAATGCAAGTAAAAGTAAAGCTAGGTCCAACAAAAATACAAAAGGCCTTATTGGACAGAAACCTGTGTTAATTTCGTGTATCTTAAAATTACATATTTATCAGTGGATAAGTAATTGAAGGATAGATATTCAGTGTATCTTCCCACCCATTCGATTCAAAAGAATGGATTTCTCTTTTTTAGAATTTAAAACAATGGATTTGGTTTTTTTAAATGGCAAAAGGAAACAAAATTATGACAAAATGATATGTTTGTAAAAGGAAAATTACGTGAGATATAAAATGCCAATGAGAATAGGTTAAAGTGTTCATTTGCTCTTTTGACTTCTTTTGGAATGTCAGATTCCAAATCCAGAATTTGGTTCATGTTTATGGTCAAATTCATAACATTGTATTGAATCTAGTTTAAAAACATTAAAATTATTTCTAATTCAATACAATACAACGTTCCCTTTTAGTATTATAGTCAAATTCATAACATGGTAAAAAATGCATTGGCTGGTGTATTGACGTTTTGCCTTTAAAATTTTGAAGATAAGGTGGGTAGGAAAATATGACATATATGTGGAAATAGCAATACTCTTAATAAATAGTAAAAGAATTTTAAGTCGTGGTTGCCTATGCTGCACGGACACAAATACATGACACGGGGACACATCAATTAATTTTTATTATTATATAATAATACTTATATATAATTGAA